GGCTCAAGGAGAAAGACAATGTTTCGACAAAGATGACAACATGCACAGGTGTATTTGACACAATGGATATATGTATGGATTGTGATAAGAGCTGTACGAGCCCCCAGTATATTAAAAAAATATGTGTGCTGTTCTGGACATGGACAGAGAGGAAAACTAAGAGCACCGCAGTCCTAGGTCAGTTGGCCTTGAGCAGAGCGAGAGAAGAGCTTAAGGTTAGATGGCCCATGTCGTCTTACGCTGGATTTTGTTTGTGGACCTCAGGTGCTGCCAAGGGGGGCCTGGTGGCACAGGGGTCACACATTGGGCCGGTGACCTCGGGTCAGCCATTGGAAACCACTAGCCACTCCATCGGAGAAAGACGAGGCTCTCTATGCCTGCAAAGAGTTAGTCTCAGGAGCCCACAGAAGCAGGTAGTACCGGTCAGAATCGACTCTGAGGCCGTGAGTTTGCGTTTGAGGCGAGGTGCCCCGTTTTCAGAAAGTTGGTGTATCTTCAGGAGTAAAGTGAACAGCACCGTGTCGCTGACACCAGTTCCCCAGACTCCATCGTTATCAAGATTTTCCCACGCTTGTTTCCAGCGTTTCCTCCTCCTCCCTGCTCCCCCTTCCCAGTTCCACACATCCTGTTGGAGAACTCCCCGAGAACCCTCAGAGATTCTCTTCTGAGAATTTCTCAGAAATGCCCTGCCATTTGTGTTCCACCTCCCAGGTCAGGGTTGCTGGAGCGTCAGCCTCCTCTCCGTTCTGCGGCGGATTTAACCCCTTGCCTGTGCGTGCAGTTCTCTCCTTCCCTGGGAAGTGGCCTCCTGAAGTGCGAACCAGGCACCACCCAGTGGCCGTGCCTGGGAACTACAGCTTTGCCCACCCCCAACGTGGTTGTCATCCCTACCCACTCAGTACAGTTCCGTCACTTTTTCTTCCCTTCCGTTCTTTACTTACGTAAGGCAGCTCTGTGGATGGGAAAACGCTGAGGCAACCTGAAGGTGTGCAGTTTCATGGCTTGGGTTTTCCACAATATTCCTGTGACTACAGTGTAATACTCAAGTTGTTAGTGATTTTATTCAGATTTAACTTGATTCATATAAGATTTTATCAGGAGAAATTGGAGTATAGGTGCCCCATCTGAATGGAAACTTCCCTAGCCTTAAACTTTCCCCACAACATCTAAACAAACAAACAACCCCTCCCCCCATAAAACAAAAACAAACTCTCTGTCATCAAGGTCGTGGGGACTCATAGCAGAGTGGAACTGCCCTGTGGCTTCCCGAGACTAGCTGTTTATGGGAGTAGGAAGTCCCATCTTTTTCTTACAGAGCGGCTGATGGTTTTGAACTGTGGACCTTGAAGATCGTAGTCCAACACATAACCATTACGCCACCAGGGCTCCTCCACAGCATCCAACAACCTTAAAAAGACCAAAGTCCACTTGGCCTTCTTGGAAGGCATCCTGACCTTTGGAAAGGGCTGTTCCCTTGCTCTCCTGGCTAGGGTCCCACTTACTGCCTCCTTTCACGGGACACCAGGAAAGTACCTCCTCTTCCCTGCCTCCTCTGAACCCCGACTGTGAGCACTGGCCCAAACCATGGTATTTTCAGTTGGCTCCTGAATGTGAGAGTTGAGTGATGAATAAGGAAGGTCTCAGAAGAGCTGATTCATTTGAGCTATGGTGTTGGCAAAGAGCACTGAGATGACCTTGGTCTACCAGAAGAACAAGCAAGCCTGTCTTGGATGATAGCCACCATGTTCTTCAGAAGTGAGGTCGGTGCCACCTTGACTTACGCACTGTCAGGAGAGACCAAACTCACCGTCCCAGGGTTGATTGACTCACGGTGTCCCTACAGGCCAGCGTAGAAGTACCAATGAGTTTATAAGACAGTAACTCTAGACGGGAAGAGAAAGCTTCATCTTTCTCCTGGGAAGTGGCTGGTGGCTTTGAACTGCTAACCTTGTCAGTTAGCAACCAACCCAGTGTGTAACCCGCTGTGCCCCCAGCACTTCTTTAGGAGAGGGAAAGGCATGACGTTTAGCAAAGTGGAGGGTCAGTGACAAAAGAGTGTCCTTGGTGCGCTGGATTGGCACCATGCCGGCGACAGTGGGGTCAGATGGAGGAACGGGCAGGAGGGTGGCACAAGACCTAGACCGTGTTTCATTCTGTTGGTGGTACGGTCGCTGTGAGCGGACGCAAGGCAGTCGCACCTAATGACAGTGGCACCGTGAAGTAGCAAGAATGCGGATGCCTTTGCAGTGGGAGATGAGATGATATTTGTTTACCTGTCCATAGTACATGCTCGTTCTAGATGTTTTCATACCTGTGGTTTATTACAGTGATGTCAGGAGAAGAGGTGGTTGATTCAGTGACTGGGCCCTAGTGTGAGGTTTCTGAAGGTGATACTTTGTGAAGCACGGAGATCCTATCAGCGAGGACGGCTCTTTAAAATCCACATGTAGATAAAAGGTAGTGATCTATCTCCGCAGACACGTCATGGGAACAGGAGATAAAATGTAGATCTAAGTTTCCCGAAATCTTTAAGAGCTAGAAGGAGAATAAATTCATGCCACTGTTAGCAAAGTGGCAACATTTATGTAGTATTAAGACCCTCTCTCAGAAGCCAATACAGCCAGAGAAAATAGGACACTTTAATAGCCACTAAAAGGAATAACACTTTATTTTAATGGGCCTAAAAGTTGTTTAGAGCAATAATTGTCTACATGTGTTAATGTCTTAATTCATTCTCACAATTAATTCATTCTCTCAAAGCAAGATAACCCTCAGGGTGAAATAATTCCAGTAAGATTACATTTAATATGTGCACATGCAGTATGGTTTTCGACAAAGTGGGATCGGGGCAGCTCAGCCATCAAAGTACTAACAAAACAGATTCTTCAAGGTAGCGACATGGCAGGAAGTCTTAAACTGCCGTGAAGCAACACGTTTTGGAACACGACTGTAAAATGGAGCCCTGGTGGTGTAATGGTTCAAAGATCCAAACCACCAGCCGCCCAAGGGTTCAGTCTCAGACACCACAGGAGCAGCTCGGCCCTACTCTGTAGGGTTGCTATGAGTCAGAATCAACTCAATGGCTGGGCATTGAACTCATGTTTTTTTTGTATTTTTCTTTTCTTTCTTTTTTTTTTTTTCATTCATTTTTTTTTAACATTTTATTAGGGGCTCATACAACTGTTATCCCAATCCATACACACATCAATTATGTAAAGCGCATTTGTACATCGTTTCTCAAAACATTTTCTCTCCATTTAAACCCCCGACATTAGGTCCTCATTTTTCCCCTCCCTCCCCGCTCCCCCTTCCCTCATGAGCCCTTGATAGTTTATAAATGGGTATTTTGTCATATCTTGCCCTGTCCGACGTCTCCCTTCATCCACTTTTCGGTTGTCTGTCCCCCAGGGAGGAGGTCACACACAGTTCCATGTAATCGGTTCCCTCTTCCCTACCCATTCTCCCTTTACCCTCCCTGTTTTGCCACTCACACCACTGGTCCTATAGGGCTCATCCGTCCTGGATTCCCTGTATTGTATTATTAACAGTCTTGCTTTGTGAAAGGGTGCTATTTGCAGTGGGTACAAACGGTCTTGCTGCCAGTGTATAGGGTTTTTGTAACATGGATGGGATGGTTTCCATACCTTTTTATTTCAAATTGGTGATAGGGGTTTCTATTAAAAGCTGCACATCTTAGTAAATATTTATTTTTATAGATTTTTGTTTAATTGACTCTACATTTAAGTGGAACCACCAAAAGAAAGAGAGAAGGTTATGGGTACTGAGTTCTGCGATTAAAAAGTAATCCCCAATTATAAACACAATGTGGAAGTGTCCTTAGTAATAATAATAAAGCTTTCCCTCCGGTTGTGCTACTCAGCAGATTAGTACATGCTCCTTCCCACATGCCCGAATGCCAGCGGTCCCTTTCCTGTCCCACTGAGCGAGCCTGCTTTTGAGTAGCTTTTCTGGGGTTAGCTTTCTGGGGTTTACGTAGGTCCCCGTGCCAGGGGCTGTCCTTTGAGGATGCTGCGTGTGTAGCGCCAGCCGCAGGTCTAGCTGCCAGGAACCCTTGCTTGAAGAACAGCTCCAGCAGCATTAAGCACTCTTCCTCCAAGACCCCCTCCCTTGCATTTCACAATGAGCCAGTGAGAACTGGGCTTGGAGGACCTCAGCCCAGAGGGGAGGGAAGCAGATGCTCTGAACAAGGATGATGCCAGCACCCTGTTAGTTAGTGTGCCCTCCTGGGAAGACATACACTCTGCGGTCCTGCTTTTCCTTTGTAAACTTTGCACGAACGGTGAAGTGCCACGCAAACAGTGCACTCAATAGAATGTGCTCTTCTGGGAGGTCCTAGTGTGAGCCCTTGACGGGGAAGGTAAGAGAAATAGAATTTAAGATAAAAACAAAACCAAAAATTACCAATAAGAATGAGAGTCTTAAGATCTGTAAATGAATAGGCCCCCCCAGTGTGGTTTCCTAATTGTCATATGCAAGATACTGGCATGGGAGGATGACGAAGAAGGCGCTGTAGGTGGGAAAGGGGTTGAGGGTGGGCAGCATCTTTTAGGCTGTTCTTTTGTTGTCTGTTTCAAAGGATTTTTCTTTTGTAAATTGAGAATGATTGCTGATCCCTTGGTTCAGAGTCATACAGTTCTGCGGGATAACACTGTTTCCCCACCCCCCTAGTTTTTCTAAAGTTTGAGATCTAGATTCTTCGGCATACATGGGTTCATATCTGCAATCTTTTTGCATATTTCAGATCTGAAAACTCAGAGACTTAGCCCTCCTCTCCCCACGTGGAAAGCTCTCGGGAGTCTTCACTTGGTGGAGATTTGTATCTGGTACAGGATAATCAAGAAATATCATTTTGGGATTATTTTTCCACTTGCAGCGATCTCAAACTTATGTTTTCACTGATGCTTCTTTATCTTTTAATAAACCCCACTGGGATGAAACTAGCTTCTGACGTTTCGAGCAGTGGGGTTGGATAAACAAGGCTGCATTGGTATGTGGATGGGCAGGTGAATGCAGATTTCTAACATGCGGCCATTTGTCTTCCAGTCTTATTTTGTAACAGATTATGATCCGACCATTGAAGACTCCTACACAAAGCAGTGTGTGATCGATGACAGAGCTGCTCGGCTGGACAGTAAGTTGCCCTCTCTTATTTGGCTATGATATGTATTAAAGAGCGCGGTTTTGCTAACTGAAGTCATTGAAATGTTAGATGATCTTAAATATTAGCCTATCTCATTAGTTTTGACGAAATAATCTACATGCCGGGCCACCTTATGTATCTGGTGAATGGAAAGTAAAACAACCATATGTAATGTCTTGCCATCGTAACATGTTCATTAGGACACATGGAAAGAACATGTTAGGTCTCAGCTTTTGCTACCTTTCTCTTTCTACTGATTGCAACTATGTGAGCATCCCACACAGTTCTACACCCCCCCCCCCACACACACACACAAGAAAGCCAACGTGTCCTATTACTTGTACGCCGCTTTCATTTACAGAGATCAAGAAAAGATTCTTAGCACCTGAACTTGAAGTGTAGCATTGGGGGGTAAAAACCAAACTTTCTCAAATTTCCAGGCAGCTTCTTGGATTGTTTTTGTGTGTAGGCTGTCTTGTTTTTCCTTGGAGAGGAAAACGCACCCCAAGGCCTTCAAAGGGTTGTCTGACTCCATCTGCCTGATGGGTTTGGTCCTTCTAGCCCAGCTTGACGTGCTCGTATGTTCAAAGCACTAGACAGCTACCTGTGCTGATGAAGATCAGCTCTGACCCTGCTGCAGGGGGGATGTATTTGTCTGCGATTTAGTACTGAAACTAGCTGAGCCGAGAACGCCGTCTCTGCTCGCTCAAGTGGGCTGTTCCCTAGAGCGCCCCCCTACTGACCGATCTATTCCATGAAAACCAGCCAGAGTTCCGTTTGTGTTCCCTTTCCTCAGTTCTGGATACAGCAGGACAAGAGGAGTTTGGAGCCATGCGAGAGCAGTACATGAGGACTGGCGAGGGCTTCCTGCTGGTCTTTTCCGTGACCGATCGAGGCAGGTGTGTACTGATAGTGAACTCGACCCACCGGTCCTGTCTACAGTACTGTGTTACTAAATTTGGACGTCCCTGTATTTGTATAAAAGGAACAGTAGTGAAGGACCACACAGGAAGGACATAAGGAGTTGGGTGTTAGGCTGCTAACTACAGGGTCAGAGGTTCAAATCCAATGGCCTGTTGCGTGCGAGGCTGTCTGCTCCAGTAAAGGTCTCCAGTCTCAGAAGCCTGTGTGTGGTCTCTCGAGTTAGAATAAACTCAGTGGCAGTGGGTTTGGTTTGGGTTTAAGTAGAGCATGGGACCTGGGTGAAATCGGATTACTTGGCCCAATGGATTGATTTGTTTTTTTGTTGTTGCTGTTACTGTCTTGTTTTAGTTTTGAAGAAATCTATAAATTTCAAAGACAAATCCTCAGAGTCAAGGATCGTGATGAGTTCCCCATGATTTTAATTGGTAATAAAGCTGACCTGGATCATCAAAGACAGGTGAGAAGGAATCTAGCCATGGATTTTTTATTTTGCAAGTGAACGGTTCTATGTCATGCAACAATTGAGTGTCACTCATTCCCCCTACCCCAAACAAACTGTGCCGTGTGCCACTTACATGTACACAGCTGTGTTTGGCATATTAGACTTAAGTCACAGTAGGTAAGAAAACCGCAGTGGAAACTAAGTTTTTACATAGCTTTATACAGAACTTTCAGACAACCCTAAAAGCCGCCTCGTTTGTCATACCGCGGTGACTTGGGTTGCAGTGATGTAGACAGCTGCGGTATCAGTATTTCAAATACCAGTAGAATGACGGGGCTCCGTGGCGCTTCCAGACTCAGGACAGACTGCCAAGAAGGAACAGGCTGTCCACTTCTGAGGGGTTCACCATTGGCAACCTTATAAATAGCAGCCGAACATGGTCAGCTGGTGTTCTGGAAGATGAACTACCTCCCCAAAGTAGCGTCTTCTTTAATGAGTGGACGGAGTGAAGCTTTCTAGACCTTCACCTGTGGTGGGGCATGACTTAAAATGAGAAGAAATACCTGCAAACATCCACTAATAATCAGAATGTGGAAATGTGAATCTAGGAAATTAGAAGTCATTAGAAATGAGATGCAATGCACATCGGCACTCTAGGCATTAATGGGTTGAAATGGACAGATATTGGCCATTTTGAGTCCTTCATATGAATTACTGTGCCAAAAGTAGTAAATTCAAGAAGAATGGTGTCGCATTCATTGTCACAAAGAACACTGCAAGATCTAGGATGATACCTGCACACCTATAAGGAAATCCAGTTAATACAACCATCATTCAAACTTAGGGACTGTGTTAGGGCGGGTGGACTAGAGAAACAAATCCAGTGATACTCATATATGTGAAAGAGCTTTATATCAAGAAGCTTTATGTATCAGGAAAACATCCAACTCAAGTCCATAAGTCTGATACTAGTCTGTACGTCGCTCTTCAGACACACAGCTAATTGCAATGATACAAAAAGCAGAATATCACAGGCCGGTGTTTGCAAAGTCATGCTGATCCAATGGTGGTGGACTCATCTCCAGGGTTCCAGTAGGTCTCAGAGTCGCTTGCCATGCCAGGAAGGTGCAGAGAGAGAGGGGTGCTGGCCTCCTGAGAACCATTTATATCCTCATACCTCTGGAGGAGGTCAGCAAGCTGAGACCTGATTCTCAGGCTAAACTCCACCCATACATTTTTACAGGTGCCATGTTGGCACAAAAAACCTAACTACCACACTCAACAACCACTATGATGAAGAAATTGAAGAATTGTACCAACTTCTGTTGTACCAAATTGTACCAATCTGACACTTACCAAACGTGCACTCAAAATGCATGGATACATGGATAATTACTGGAGATTGGAAGGCGAAAGTAGGAAGGAAAGTGGGAGAAACAGTAGTGGAGAATGTGGCGCTGTGACTGAAGCAGAGTTGGTGATCACATGATAGAATTTCGCAAGATCCAAATTTTGTAAGGATCAAATGATGTGTACTGTAGGCAGATCTGCACCAGACCTCTTCGAAGTGTTTAAGAGCAAGGGCGTGACGTTGAGGACCAGGATGCACCTGGCACACGCTGTGGTAATTTCAGTCACCTCGTCCCCGTGTGAAAGCTGGACTGTGAAGGAGGAAGGCGCCGGAGAACCGGTGCATTTGAATGAAGGTGCTGGCAAAGAAGGCTGAAAGTACCATGAACTGCCGGGAATGAACAAATCTGCCTCGGAAGATGTACAGCCAGAAAGTTCCGTAGAAGAGATTGGCAAGATTTGTCTCACGTACTTTGGACATGGTGACAACATGCTTGGTCCGGTAACGTCCGTGAACAAGAGAAAGCCCCTCAGCCAGAGGGACTGAATCGTGACTGCAGCAGCGGGCTCCAGCATGACGAGCGTCATGAGGGCACACAGGGCCAGGCAGTGTTCTGTTCTGCTGTGCAGCGGTCCCCTTCATGTGAGCGCTATCCAGAAATCTCTAGGTCCGTGTTCACACTATGTTACCTTCCTTTAGGGCGCGATTGTGATTTTAATGATACTGTGTTGGATTTTTAGTGTCTTATTAATGACTGGATTTTCTGTCAGTTCTTCACATTGGCTATCTTAAAACCAGTCATTGCAAGAAAATACTCTTAGTATTTCGTTGAAGGCTCACCTGTTCTCACTTGTCTTTTGTTTTGCTTTGAACCTCCTCATTTCAAATTTATTTGTATTTTGGCCTTGTGCACTGCAATGGGGAGAGAGGAGACTAACCCAAAAGTTGGAGGTTTGAACACCATGGGAAGTTCCTTGGAAGAAAGGACTGGTAATCTGTGCCTGAGAAGCGGACCATTGAGAACCCCGTGCAGCCCATTTATACCGACACACCTGGGGTCGCCACGTGCAGCCTATTTATACCAACACATCTGGGGTCGCCACGCGTCGGAACGCACTCACAGCATCTGTGTTGTAGCGGTTTTTGTTTGTTTTTCTTTTTTAAAGTAGAACAAAAACTTTCTGGATAGGGATCAGACTTACTAACTCTACTTTTATAAAATTCAGTTCTTTGGGTTGAGGAGCCTCTGGGGAACACTTGTATCGTTTTCAGTATTCTGACTCTGGCTTGACTGGGCTGTGACTGCTTTCTGTGGTGTCCTTTCTTGCTCCCTTGATGAAGGCACATCTGCTTCTACTTGTTCTTGACAGGATGCTACATCGATGAGCTTAAAGGCGGCTTTACATGTGGTTAGTCTGCACCAGAAATGGGTGCACCAACTTTGCTGACCTTGATTCCTGGAAGACATTGATGTGAAACCATACTTTAAAAATAGATAAAAGAAGCATTTGCGTGACCATAACAGTGGGTATTGTTTAGTTTGAAGATAGTCGTTTGCTTTCCCCCCTCTAGTTTGATTATATTGTGTATGACAGGTGAGAATAAGGTACTCTGGGGGGAGGGGGACATAATTGAGCAAAAGGAAATCCCAAAATCCTTGTGGGCATGTTTCAGTATTTAATTTTCTTCCCTAGATGTCATCTTTTCTTCTACTTCAGGAGATGTTTATTTCATTGGTGGTACTCCGTGTACTTAACGCGTGCTAATTACGTGCGGTGCCATCAATTGGCATCTTGTAACAGCACAGAAGGAAAACAAAACCAAAAATTGAACTGAGGTTATGTTAAGAATTTTGAAAGTAGTAGCCAGTGGGGTGTGATGGGAGCTTTAAAACAGCATCAAAACTGGTGTGGAGACTGCGCGAGTCTTGAAGAAATTGAGTCGGATGAAACAAATTGAGAGTGTAGGGTAGAGGAGAGCTGATGATAACCAAGGAAGATGGACCAGGTTTGTCACAGAATAGACAACATTTCTCACGTCAGAATTTGTTAATCATTCTTTCTGAATTGGTCAATCTGTGAAACTCTCATTTGTTAATTTGCTCTCTTGATTTGATTGACTTCTAATTCAAATCCATCAGCCTTATGGTTCATATAAAATAACATATGGTTATTTTGTAGAGAGACGTTAGATTTTAAAAGTCATAAACTTGACTATACCAATCCTCTGCAGAATTTGTCTGCCACTCTTTAGGACATGAACTTGGAAAGTGACCTTAGAAATAAATGCATTAATGCTATAACCGACCGTGTCAAAGTGGCTGAATTGTGGGAGTGGAGTGTAAAATTGGCTTTGGAGAGGGAAACTACATTGCGATCTTAAGCCACCAGAAGGAACTAGAGAGAGCAATAACCCAGAGCTCCAATAAGGACAACAATACTACAATAATAATACTACAATAATACTGTCCCATTCAATCAGAGTTCTTGGAGTACTGGGTACTGTACTCAGAAGGATTTTGTCCCAGTGGGAGGGCAAAAAGCCCTGGTGGTGCAGTGGTTAAGTGCTTAGCCACCATTTGAAAGGTCAGTGGTCAATGTTCTGAACCAGCTACTTTGCAGGAAAGAGATGGGCACATTGCCTCTGTAAAGATGCACAGTCTTGGAAGGGCAGTTTTCCTCAGTCCTTTGAGTCAGAATTGACGTTATGGCAGTGCATTTGGTTTGGGGTTCGGTGGGGGAGAAATTAGTCCTTGGAATAAACACGAGTCAAAAGCAGTATGGCTGGAAAGGGTTAAACTGTTTACAGGTAACTGCATTCCTGGAGAAGAAAGCTCAGTAACTTCTACAGGAATACCACTATCTTGTACCTAGTAGGTGAAAATCCAGTGCACAGGCGTCTCCTCAGAAATTACCAGACAAGTAAGAAGCAGGGCATGTACAACCCACTTAAAGAAGAGAAACCAATCAGTACAAACAGGCCTAGCAATAGCAGATGATAACAAATAATGGACAAAGACATTAAGACAGTTCTGATTACCTTCCACGAGTTCAGGAAGCTGGAAGAAAGAGTGGATCCGTTGAGCACAGATGTGGAAGACAGAAAGGGATCTGAATCACAGAAATGAATACTATAATATCTGAGATGAAAAATATGCCTGCTAGGATTAACAAGAAATGACCCAAAACTTTCCAAATATGTTGAAAACTATAAACGTACACATTCAACTCTGTGAGCCCCAAGCACAAGAATAATGCTATTGCTTGAAACCGTCTGTAAAGAGGAAATCTGAAAATCTGCTTTTGCTACAAATCTGGCTAGAGGAGGAAAATATATTCCAGATAGATAGACCAAGATGAGGATGGTAATGACTTCCAGTTGCAGCTCGGAGAGCTGTGTCTCTAAAATACCGGTAGGGAGCAAACACTTCCCTGTTGACCTTAGAACTCAGTACCCCTGGAAAAACCTGCTTCTCAGGGGAAGTGAGATTCCGTCTTTTCTACACACATAAAAAGGTGAGGGTTAGACAGAGCTAATGTCAGGTTCATGCTGTCCCCCAACACAGCTCTGCTCTTCTGGGGTTTCAGGTGACACAGGAAGAAGGGCAGCAGTTGGCACGGCAGCTGAAGGTAACATACATGGAAGCTTCTGCCAAAATTAGGATGAATGTCGACCAAGCTTTCCACGAACTTGTCCGGGTGATAAGGTAAGCAAAACTCCTTCTAGAAGCTAATTTTGGCTCGTTGTATTCGAACATAGGCTGAAACTGTGCTTTAGAAAGCCAGGGACCAAAAACACCCGGCAGAGACATTCCCTGAAGTCTTTTCAGGAGCCTGGATGAGCTCGTTCTCCGTAGCAGTTCCCTTCTAGGGGTGGATACAAACGACGCATTAACATTCTCCGGGGAGCGCATACTGTATACAGGACACTTGATGTCTGGAGTCTCGTCGACTTATATTGTAGTCGAAGGTAGCCGTGGGGACCTTGAAACGAAGGCGGACGAGCTTCCGGAGAGGTACTGGTCCGATGGCAGTGGTGACCTGTGCCAAGCACTGTGTGTAGGCAGTGCAGTCTTGCATTGTTGCATTGAATTCTCACCACCAGCCCATAAGCTGAAGGCTGTTTTTTATCTTCACTCTGAGATGAGAAAGCCCAGTGACGAAGAGGCTAAGTAACTTGTTTAAGCTTTGGGCACATTCAGTAGCGGAGCTGGGGCTGGAATGCCAGTCTCTCATTCTAGAGCCAGTGTCCTTGAATCTCAGTCTCTAATTCTAAAGCCAGTGCCCTTGAATCTCAGTCTCATTCTAAAGCCAGTGTCCTTGAATCTCAGTCTCTAATTCTAAAGCCAGTGTCCTTGAATCTCAGTCTCTCATTCTAAAGCCAGTGCCCTTGACCTTGCTTCTCAACCTGTCTGTTCCCCTCAGGACAAGGAGCAGGAGAGCTGGAACAGCCCCCCAAGGTTCCAAACTACACCCTATTTCCTGTTAGATGGTCTAGGATATACTTGTGGTTCAGGAAGTATTCCTTGGTTCTAGGAAGCTAGCGGGGACGCAAGGGCTCTCCCGGGCTTATTATACAAACCTTTATATGTGAGAGAGATGATAATGTGACAGAGACTAAGTGGCCTTAAGGAGTAGCTTTTCCTTGGTTACTTTGAATGTTGGTGGCCTGATTCCCACTCTGCCCTTGTGTTTCCCAGCTGATTAGAACACTGGACAGCCTGTGAGAGGAGAGGGCCCTGGGTGGCTTCAAATTTAAGGTGCATCAATGCCTGCGCTATGGGCTACTTGGAGTTTTGGATCCCTTTGTTGCTGGCACAGTCTTTCTGGAGAGAGACTTAACAGTAAAGGCAGCAGATGTTTTGGTTTTAATAGTTTGTTAAAAATCCCGTCCCTGTTTTAAACCACTGATAGATGGAATCCCAGTGTGTCTTAACTGCCCCTTTGACGCATTTTGCCCTTACTTTTGATCCTTAGGCAGGAGTGGAAGTAGGTGTGTAGAGAAAGCCTTGTATACTGTCACTCGTAGGTAGTTCAATGAACAAGATCTTCAATCCTCGTAGTAGCGGTGACAGGGTTTTAATTATTCCTTCCTAAAAGAACTCCAAAGCCAGCAGCTAACGTCTGTAATGCTGGCTGAGCGGCAGCAGGGCTCGGAGCAGCACACGCTGAGCCATTCCGTGCCAGAACGCAGGTCCGTCCGGAAGTTCCCTAGTTGTTAGTGCCACGGAGCTGATTCTGACTCCAGGCAACCCCATCTGTTCTGAACAGAACCTCAACCCCATGACGCTGTGGCCTTTCAGAAGGAGGTCGCCAGGCTGGCCTGTCTCTTGAGATGCTTCTGGGTGGGTTTGAACCACTGGCCTTTTGGCCAGAAGCCGAGCAACCCTGAAGTTCTTTACTTTCTCTTTTTTGCTTTTTTTGGGGGGAGGGATGGTGAGTGGTGGTGGAGGGGAGACAAAAATGTGTTTAAATATACTTAAAGTGTAGCTTTGTAAAGCATATGTACTTACAACTAGAGGTGTTCAAAAATAGCCCGCCTTTGTAACCATAGATTGCCAAGAAGGTACTTATGTTTCGATCTCTCCCCTCCTCCGTCACAGGAAATTTCAGGAGCAAGAATGCCCTCCTTCGCCAGAACCAACACAGAAAGAGAAGGACAAGCAAGGCTGCCACTGTGTCGTTTTCTAAGAACCCCGCGAGTTTCAGCTACCGACTGCCAGGAAAAGCCCCCTCGACTTCTCTCCTTCCGGTTTGTCGCGCCGGCCCTTTCTCGCCTCAGACAAGCAAGCCCTACCATGTCACCACGTTAGCCTTCGACCAAGAAGCGGGCTGATCCTTCCTGTGAAATAATACGATGGTCATTTCCCAGACACATTTAACGGAAACACTAAGGCTGCTTTTAAGATCTGATTCCTTTACAATACGTAAAACAAGCGTGTGCGCGCACACACGTTCTTTAAGGGCTGACATTTTAATAGAGATGAGTCCGTTTTGGAACCTAAGCTGTTTGCCAAGCGGAAGTCATAGGTTGTGAAATAATTCTTAACTTCTGGAATTTCATTGCTTACCGCTACTCTAAATAGAAACATAGGGGGGTAATTTTTTTAAGTTGGTTGTTTTTAAATGTGAATTTTTGCCCACCCTATACATTTTTGATACAACTACACTTGTAAAACACTGTATTGAATTTCTAAACGTGAGACATCTCAGATCTTACTTGATGCTACAGCTTCTGTGTTCCAGTGGCCCAAACCCAAAATGCCTGTTGTGTTATGGAATAAAAGTCGTTCTTAATACTTTTCTTCTTGAAGGCAATGATATTCTATGTGGCCAAATATTTGAGCTGACTCTGGACTCTGAAACACTTTGTTCTTCTCCCTTTTTAAAAACGTAGCTCTTCATAGCCATGTGTGGAAGGTGGAAATCAATAATTTGTGTCTCGTCTTCCTTTTCAAGTATTTCTGGGTAAGGGGTTCAATAAAACAAAAACTGCTTTTTGTTTGATGTAATATAAAATGTGGAATTGATCTTTCCGGGGTCAGAGATGATTAATGTTTTTGCTATATACTTTTATACATTATTTTCTTATCAAACTAGTTAACAAGTATTTTTATATGTTTGTAAGCAAATATGCTTTCTCAGCATACCTTGTGTATATGTAAAGATAAGTATTTAATTCTCATTGTTCACTTTTAACTGACAAAGACAGACCAATATGTGGAAGCTGCAGAGACTGGGGTAGAACTTGGCTCCGGTTGTGATCCTGGTTGTACCTGCCTTTGGCCAGTCACACCCCCACTGAAGAAACCTTCCCGGGGGAGGCCAGCGCCCAGGATGAGAACCCGGCGTCCCTCTCCGTGTGCCCTACTAGGTAGTTGCCTGCTCTGTCAGATGTCACACGTGAACATGTCATAGTTGATGAGTGTGACTGTGGATGGCTTCTGATTTCATTTTCAAAATTCTGTGGATTGTGTTTCAACAATTCGAAAGTCTGTTTCCTGATGTCGAGATACTAAGTGGTGTCGCACGGTTGTCACTTTACAGAATGTGTACAACGGTCCCAGGACGTTTATCAAGCGTGCCCCGTAGAGCTGCAGGTGCTGGAATAAAGTCGCTCTGGTATCACAAGGTGGTGCTCGTGTGCTCATTGCTCATTTTGGTGCTTTGTTGAGGGGAGATGAGTGCAGGATAAACTTATTTTAGGGACTGTACATCCCCTCCCCCTCCCCCTTCCCCTTCCCCCACCAAGAAAAAGAAAACAAAAAAAACAAGCCTTGTAGTTTGAATCCAAAAATCCAACGTAGTTCGTGATGGGTGGTGGTGGTCAGATCCTGAGGGTCTCCTTAAGCAGGTACGTTTTTCCTTTAAGCTCCTGGCAGAGGCCCCACCCACCCAGAGCGAGGAGGGCGAAGCCTGAACCAGCTGAAGCTAACCCGGAGCTCAGAGTTGACCGAGTTCATTCTGAATCATAGCGGTATGTGGCACCGGGCTTTTCTAAAGCTGCACATATTTATAAGAGCATACAGCGGCATTTTTCTCCTGGGGAGCAGCTGCTGGGTTTGAACGACCAACCTTGTGGTTAGCATGATGCCACCAGGGCCCCTTAGCTTGAAGCAAAGCATACAATAAATGTACCTGGAGATTAATAAAATTATTTTTACATATTTCGCAAGATAATTGCTTAAATAGAAGATTATCTTTTTAGCATCCTAGTAAAATGATCACATTGGTATTGTGACTTGGTGCCTTACTACTGTCACATATCTTGGATACTGGTTCACAGTTTTTGTTTTTTTTAATGGGCAGTGTGATACATACAAGATAAGAGTGCCTGTATAACATTCTGATTTGGTGAGAAAACCGTTTTATTCTGAATAGGAGATTTGTAGCCAAACAACTCAAAGTTACATATTTCTGCCTCAGTTTACTTTTGATTTCCCTGCTTTGGCTTTGGCTGATTTTCATCACTCTGTCCTCATTTTCACGAGTCTTGTTTTCATTCATTTAACTTGCTGCTGCTAGTTTCACCCAGTGAGTTTTCCATTTTAGACTTTGTACTTTCTATTTAGCGGAAAGTTCCTGTTGATTGTCTCGTCCACAGATGGTCTGCTGACTGTGTTCATGTTGCTTTTAAGCCAGTTCTTGTCAGACCGGTTTTCATGTAGTTGGACTGGGCCCCTCATGCCTTCTCACTGCCATCGAGTCGTTCTGACTCACAGCAAGCTTATAGGGCCGAACTGAGCTGTCCTGTGCGTTTCTGAGGCTGATGATTATTATGGGAGTAGAAAGCCTCATCTTTTTTCCCCAGAGCAGCTGGGCGGGTTTGAATTGCTTACCTTGCAGTTTGCTGCCCGATGAGGGAAACCACCAGAGTGTGTTCTGCATGCCTTAAAACCCTAAAAGTTTTGTGGGGGTAGCAACTGGCTTCCACCCAAAGAGAAGGAGAATGAAAATCAGCATTGATTGCTGTGAGGGAGAGGTGGATAGGTCTCTACTCTGTAACCTTTGTCAAAACAATTCTGATGCCAACTGCCCATCCCACACCACTTTACATCTGTGCTGGGTTTGATAATGTATTGTCAAGGCCACACAAAACAGCATACAATTACGGGGCCTATTAGAGAAACAACTGTTACCATTCAGGTTCAGGAATGCTCAAGGTACAGTTCTTTCATCAAGACAACCTCTTCGCGACTGTGTCCAAAGGCACAGCAGCCTCCCTCTTCCATCCCTAAGGGTTAGCAAGACTCTTAGCTCTGCAAATTAAGTGCCTAGAGGTATGCCAGTATACTTTTGCTTAAAGGCACCTGGCTCTAGTGCTTGGCAAACTTTGTTCCCCCTGCTTAAGTGCCTGCACTCCAGCAGGCCACCTGCATGAAGTTACTCTTTCTCACTCCAGGGAAGCCATATCCCTTTCCCCCTCTGAGGTGGCTTCTTATAAGCCTACAGGGATGGCAACACTGGCTGATCGGTACTTTAGCATTCTGTGCGCATTATTTGCATTTTTCACCCTAGGAAGAGTGTCACGTACCTTGTTTACATTACAAGGTTTACGTCCAGAGGTAGTCCTGCTAAAGCTTCAGCCCCTCCCTGTGACTTCTTCCAACAATGTGTTTAAACATGTCTCTGCAATCAGTGGATGGCTGCAAGCAGGATCGCTGGGTAATATGATTTGTCTTAGTCTCTTTAGGGTGCATGTAGAAAAAGGGATACTTTTTGTGCCCTTATGGGTTGGGGTGGGGGCCGAGATCACTTGAAGCCAGTGCTTTAATAAAACTTATGTGGATGTCTTCCGAAATCATTGGAATTTTGCAGCAAGTACGTGGGGCAGGTTTTAGATGGATCAAGCATCTTACAGGAATCCAGGAAGACCTCAGAAGATGCTATCAAGGCAGAGCAGTTGGCTCCGAAGGTTATGGCATGTGTTTTTTTGGAATCTGCAAGAGGCCTTGATACGTTTTCTCAAACATCAGAGACAATCAATTGGCCTTATTGGGAAAATTTAAGAATATGGATAACCACTGGTGACCAAGAAAGTTGTGTCAAGTTTTGTTTGTGTTTCTGCATGATAATGTACCTGCTCGTTCTTCGAGGATAGCAAAAGCAGTCTTTTGTGAATGTCATTGGGATGTCTTACCCCCTCAAGCCTATAGCCCTGTTCTCACACCTGATACTTAGTTGTGTTCCCCAAGCTAGCAGAAAATGGAAAAGGAACATGATTTGAGTCACTTGAGGATGCGAAAACCGCCTTTTCATGTGCCCATCACAGAACCCAGGCAAGAATGAGAAACATGACCGTCACAAGTCTAGACTAGATGGGAGGCTATGTCAAGAAAAAATGTATGTTTTTTTTGGTTGTAATCATTTTATTAGGGGCTCATACAACTCCTATCACAATCCATACATCAATTGTGTAAAGCACATTTGTACATTCATTGTCCTCATCATTCTCGAAACATTTGCTCTCCACTTAAGCCCTTGGCATCAACTCCTCATTTTTCCCTTCCTTCCCCACCCCTCCCTCCCTCGTGAACCCCTGATAATTTATAAATTATTATTTTGTCTTATCTTGCACTGTCTGAAATCTTTCTTCACCCACCCCTCCGCTGTCCGTCCCCCAGGGAGGAGGCCATATGTAGATCCTTGTAGTCGGTTCCCCCTTTCAACCCCACCCTCCCTCCACCCTCCTGGAGAAAAATATTTTTGTTTAAGGGTTTCTATGCCATTGTAGCCATGGCTTGTCTGTCAATTCGCCCTACCGTGATGGCTTGTGTGTTGCTGTGACGTTGGAGGCCATGTCCCTGGTACTTCAAATACCAGCTGGGTCCCCCGAAAGTGCACAGGTTTCAGCGGAACTTCCGGACGAAGAATAGACGGTCAAGGCCTCGGCTCCCCAGTGTGGAGGACGGGGTCACTGCAAGCCTTAGGCATGGTCTCGCCACGTGGCCGGTTACTGCAGACTTAGTAAATAGGAGCGGAGCTTTGCCGGAGACCAGAAGATGAGAGTCTCAGATTGAAGGCGCTTAGAACACGACTGAAGAAAAGCTGTTCTCAAAGTAACATCAACCATAATGATGTGGATGGAGCCTGTGAGGCTAACACCTTTGGGACCTTCCTTTGCTATGGGGCATGACTGGAGAAGAAACAGCTGCAAATACCCATGAATGATTGGGGCTTGGAATGTACAGAGGGTGATTGGAGAAAAACTGGAAGCCATTGACAATGAAATGGGAGACATACAGACCCATAGTCTACTTGATGAGCGGAAATGGATCCGCATTGGCCGTTTCAAATGAGAAAATCATGGCTTCCTAAGTCGGGAATGCCAAAATGACGAGGGATGGTGTTGCATTCATTGTCAAAAAGGACATTTCAACATCTATCTTGAAATACAGTGCTGTCTGTGTTGGATCATGTCTATCCGCATATAAGGAGATCCAGTCAGTGCCACTACTAGTCAAATTTATGCACCACCCACTAAAGCTAGTGAAGCAGAAATTGAAAAATTCTACCAACTTCTCTAATCTGAAGTTGTTCAAACATGCCATCAAGATGCGTCGATAATTATTGGTGCTTGGAATGCAAACGTTGGAAACAGAAAGGAACTTTTGGTTTCGTGAAAATATGCTCTTGATGATGGGAATGAAGCTGGAGATGACATGATAGAAATTTGCAAGACTTCTTCATTCCACTTACCTTTTAAAAACAATATAAAAGCCAACTATACATGTGGATTTCTCCAGATGGAATACATAGAAATCAAATTGATTATATCTGTGGGAAGAGACTGGAGAAACTCAAGATTAGCCACTAAAACCAGGCCAGGGACTGACTGCGGAACAGACCATCAATTGCTCTCACATAATCTCAGGGTGAAGCTGAAGAAAATTAAAACATTAAAATACAACCTTCAGTCTATCCCACTTTAATTTTCAGAACATCTCAAGAACAGATTTGATGCATGAAACACTAATGACAGGAGACCTGATGAGCTGTGAGATGACGTCAAGAGTATCAGACTTGAAGAAAGCAAAAGGCCATTGCAAAAACAAAACAGGAAATAAAGGATCAAAGTAGATGTCAGAAGAGGGTATGTAACTTGCAGAGTCGCTAAGACAAATGGAAGAACTGCTGGAAGTCAGAGCTGAACAGAAAATTCCAAAGAGAAGTTCAAGAAGACAAGGTCAAATATTATGAAATGTGCAAAGACCTAGAAGTTCGAAAACCAGAAAGGAAGAACATGCATAACAAATCTTAAGCTGAAGCACTAAAGAGAAAAAGCACACCAAAGTCTTAATTGCAATATTGAAAGAGTGTATGGGAAAAATATTGAGCGATGCAGGAAGCATCAAAAGAAGAAAAGAATACACAGTCACTGTACCAAAAGGAATTAGTTAACATTGCACCATTTCAAGAGGTAGCTTGTGAGCAAGAACCAGTGGGACTGAAGGAAGAAGTCTTAAACTGCACTGAAAGCATTAGTCAAAAGCAAGGCTCTGGGAATTAATGGTGAAACGTTTCAACAATTGAAATGTTTCAACAAGCTGGTGAAGCACTGGAAGCACTTGCTGGTCTCTGCTAGACAGTTACTTGGCCAACTGATTGGAAGAGATCCATATTTCTACCCA